GAACCTGCCTGAAATTTACTTATCTGTACCTTGCTTTCGTTTCTAACTTGTAGAGAAAATGCAGTTCCTTTAGAGAAAATCTAAATGTCTCTGTCTGCCAGAGAATCAGGGTTGCTAGCAGTATAACTTCAGAGACGGTGTCAAGAAGGCAATGAAATATCTATATTTTCTAGGTATTCTCCCTGAGGCCTCAAGAGTCAGGCTGCAACCTTTCTCTATGCTTCCCAAGCAGAACAAGTGTTGAAATCCTTATGAACAGAATATTAGGGCAGAAGTGTTAATTAACTAAGAGCTCATGCTTAGGTGAGCAAGCCAAGATACTAGATTCCATAATAATCTTTCCTGATGTTAAAAGTCAGAGACACAGAATTTTAAAAAGGGTATCAAATGTGCCTTTTCTCAAGAGGCTTGACCACGAAGCCATGGGCAAACAGCACAGGAGCAATCCTCTAAGCTTCAGATAACCAGAGGATTTCAGCTAGAAAATGTCAGGGAGGTGGGCAGGCAGGTGGGAGCAGACAGCTGGTAAGTGTGGGTGCTCATCACTGCTAAGTGGGGGCACTTATTTATATGCCTACCATTAGGCACTCACATATGAAAATGTGGGTTTCCGTGTGTACAGTCAACATCACGATTCGCATGATGGAAGGTGATGCCTCCCTGCAGAGACTGTCAGTTGCAGAGGGGTGTTTTCTGCAGCAGACTGCTTGGGCTAATGGAAGTGAACAAATGTCCCTTTCTTGCAGGGACTTTGGACAGTTGGCAGTGGAGCTGTTGGACCAGTCATACAAGCAGGACGAGCAACTGGCAATGAAACTGCTAACCTACGAGCTGAAGAACTGGAGCAATGCCACATGCCTGCAGCTCGCAGTGGCAGCCAAGCACAGGGACTTCATTGCTCACACTTGCAGCCAAATGCTGCTCACAGATATGTGGATGGGTCGTCTACGGATGCGCAAAAATTCTGGCCTAAAGGTCAGCACTGTTTTAAAATAAAATTAACAATGAGATTAACAAATAGATGGTGACGGGGCTCACAACAAATCAGTAATGACCCGCTCAATTATTCATATTTCAAGTGCTTATTTGTGGTGACATTAAGCAGAGTATATTCTTCCTGTGTTCAGTTTTCAGCAGGGAGCTTATCACAAACCCAAGTTCAAAGCATGTCACTTAGTTTTTAATCATCTTTCTCAAAACTCCTTCCAGCATCAGTGAGAGTTATTAGAGTAAAAATTGAGTCAGGAGCTTATTATGTCACCCTGCCTGGATATCTGAGGAGTTAACCAAGGTTTTTGAAGATAAAGAAAGAAAAAGGATGTGTAAGTGAATTAGTCACTAGTGAAAGGTGCTGATCCAACAACCTTCCTCAGGACAGGCCAAAGCAAACAGCACAAATTTTCTTGCAGTCCTCTGCCAATCTTCCCAATTACTGACCTTGAAGGGACTGCCTTAGAGGACCTAGAGGATAACTCAGTTTTCAAAGCTGTTTAAGCTTTACTTCCACAGTTAAGTGAAACTGCTAACAAAGCAAGGTGAATTCTGGGAGGTGAATTTGTGTCCATTGGTTGGCTTCTTTCACCTTCACCGAAGTACTCACCAGTCAGTACGTAACCAGGAATTGCCTCTTCCTCCCAGATGGCTGAGAAGTATTTTCAGTTAAGGGGTTCTCTCTCCTGTATTAATTGTGTGTGTGAAAAGTGGCAATTTCAGCTGTTTTGCTGTGTGAAAAGATGTCTGGTAAGGGCGAGAATGCTTATGAGTATGTGCATTGTTACCCTTCTAGGTCTAATCCAGCAACAGTGATGAATGAGAATAAGCAGCTGATAGCATTCTCATCATCCTCCTGCACGAGGTGTGCATAAATATTGTTCTGCTAACAGATAGAAAGCATTCTCACATCAGGAGACATCTTTACTACCTATTTTTCTGATTCGACTCCCAGGCCCATTGCCCTTCAGAGGGACTGCTGCCTTGCTTACTGCTTGGCTTTGCAGGTATTCAACCTGGTAGATGGGGATCAGTGCAAAAACTTATTTCCCACTGTATGCTTTCTCCTTTGCAGCATGCATCTCTTAAGCTGTAAAATAGACCTTTCTTTCACAATGAATAACTGAAGGTAACAGACTCTGTTTCCTTTCAGCTTCTTGTAACATCTGGTCTTCATGAGGATCCTTTACTCGGTTTCTAGTTTGTGTTTTATTTCACTGAAGCTCATTAGCCGGGCCTGTTTAAAGATAAAACAGGCCACAAGCTACATGAGCAAGAGGCAGCATGGCAAAGAAATAAATTTGGAAGCATGAGTCATGGATTATTTCCCATGAACAATTTTCTCCTGACAAAACTGGCAAATGGCAAGAAGAGTGAATGTAACTCCTTAGAGTCTTGCCAGGGATGTATAGCACCAATGGGAGGAGGCGAGGCAATTGTTAATCCTGCCTGTTATTAAAAATAGCCTCTCTAGGAAGCTAGGTCTGCCCATAACCCCCTCTTCCTCAACATACCCTTTTGCAACAAGCAGAGTGCGGGAGCAGTGCGGGCAGCCTAGTACTCAGCTCTTTTGAGGCTGTATTCATATACACTAAGTGCTCCTAATTGTGGTGCTTTGGATGGTTTCACCAACACATACGCTGTCTGTCAATATGATCAGCACAAGCAGTCACCCTTCCTGACCTGCCAGCAAGCTAACTATCTGGCTTCACTGTCATTTAGGGAGAGATTTATAAGAAAATCATTTTCCATGAGATTACAGCAAAACCAGGAAAAGCTACTGTGCTTGTGAATAGAGATAGGCCACTTATTTTTGCATTACTGTGATATCTCTTCAGTTATACTAGCATTTTAACCCCACGCATCATTCATTACCTATATACACACAAAGAAAAAGCTGGCATTAATGTGAGCATTACAAAGCTGCCAGGTTACTGAAGAAAAATCTAAGGGGACCACATAGCTAAGTACTTCAGCATTTTCTCTTGCTGGCTTTGTCTTTACCTCTTCAGATCCACACGTACTTACACATTTACAACCTGTCTGCCCTAAGTATGGACACAGAGAGCTTGATACCTATTAACCTTCTCTGTAGAAATTAATACTACTTGTGTGTCATTTACACTGATATTGTCGATTAAGTATAATACAGAAATGTGCACGTCCAAGGTCTGAAAACCCCCATGGTCAACCTGCCATTGACCTTATGTAATATTTTGTAAATATATTCTGGTATGTAACAATACAAATCTGATGAGGAAGCAGATAAAATATTCAAGAGAGGCAATTAGCCATAGCATTCACAGCAACGCTAATAGAAGTTATGTGCTTTGTTTCACTATGGAGCTCTGAAAACATTACCCAAAATGACAAATACTCTATTGTCATAGAAACTCACATGCACACATATCTTCCTTTTCCTAAATGTCCTAAAGGAGTTGTTCCATTTTATACTAAGTAACCATCATTATTGTAATCTGTTTACTGTGATGATTATTGTTATCATTATTATTGCTTTAGGTAATTCTAGGAATTCTACTTCCTCCTTCAATCCTCAGCTTGGAGTTCAAGAACAAAGATGATATGCCTTACATGTCCCAGGCCAGCGAGATCCATCTTCAAGAGAAGGAGCCAGAGGAACCAGAGAAGCCAGTGAAAGAAAAAGAAGAGGAGGACATGGAACTCACTGTAAGTGCCAACAATAAGTGACCAGCCTCAGCACTGTCAATTTGTTATTCCCACTTCTGTGAGTGTTGCAGGCTGTCTGATGGCTAAATTTAGCAGATGATAGGATACTACTCTTGACACTCCCCTCTTCTCAGTGGGACTCAAACCAGACCAGTTAGCGTCATTGTGCCTCAATGTTGCAACAGTGCATGGTGATGCTGAAGCATCATGTTGTCATGTAACATCCTCATATTTTGATTCAATTTGATGTCACATTGTCTGAAATAAATTAATGAGATTTCAGAATTGAAAGCATGATAGATGAGTGGGCCTCTCTGGTAAAAAAGAAGTTCACTAGGTCTTCCTTTAGGTGGAAATTCCCAAAGATTCATAGAAGCCAGAGATTCTTTTTTTACTTTTGGTTAACTTCTTTAGAGGGCAAGTAAGTGTGCAAACAGGCAAGAAAAATGATTGAAATATTTTTCAAAATTCTTTATGAATTTGTGGACATTGCCTCTCACACATACAGACACACAGTTTTTAATCCACTGAAGACATTAGCGAGCAGCTAGACAGTTCAGTCTTACTAAGAGCTTCTGGAGCCCAGCAGAATTTTGCGAGGAAGAACTTGTCTGTGTTAGTAACATAGCCTTAGAAGAATAACTTGCACCACAAAGATAATCAAATAGAGAGCTAAAGCTCTCAAAACTACAAGTCATGTACTTCCAGTCTCTTGTTCTCAGACATTTTTGACACTTTTTAATTTGGGCAGTTATTGTATGAGCTATCAGACCTGCCTTAGCTTAGTTTGGCTTGCTTTGATTTGGGTTTGATTGTGGTGTCTTTGAAAGGCTTCAAATTCAGCCCTAGTTGGTCAACATCAGGACAGAGGCATAGAAGTACAAGGGATTTTCCTGGTTAATTTGAAAAAAACCAAACAAAACCCCAAAACAAAACAGACTATTTCCCACAGGCAAACAGCAGGAGCTGCCCACAGGATCCCGTCTGCAGGCAGGCAGAAGGACCTGCCTACAGGACCCAATATGCAGGCAAGCCGAAGGAGCAGCCCACAAGACCCACCTACAGGACTCGTTTGCAGGCAAGAATCTGGCTGTTGGGAAGGACCAGAAGCCAGAACAGCAGCAATGGGCCATTCTTTGCTTATTAGCTATTAATTTAGCACTTTACTATCCCTGGCTTCTGATCCATTTATGAAGTGCCTATTCAAATCAAATAAGCACTTTGCAAGCTGCCTTTTTCTTGGCAATGGGGAGAAATTTGGGGAGGAAGCCATTTCCATCTCTCTGCAGTTATCCCAGCTCCTGGTTTCTTGTCTACAATACTTTGTGTTTCCTTTTTACCTTCTGACTCCTGCTACAAGGAAGTGATGAGTCAATGGTTCGGCTTTTCCAGACAGGTCTTAGATGTTCCCTCCCTTCTCCCTTCCATGTGCTGAGAGTCCTATTGCTCTTTCCTGTCATTGACTCTGCCCTTAACTCAGTGAAGTTTCAGAGCCTTGCAGCCTTTTCTAGAAATTAAGAACTGTCTCTGTGGAGTCCAGAAAGTTTAGAAACAATATATTTGGTACACTACTGCTGACTTAATATTTCTGCATATAATGTAAACTGTGCTTAAGGACTTCTATCACAGCTTCTTCATTCAGGTGCCCTTCATATTTGCTAGCAAAGAGACCTTGGCATATATTTCTGTGGTTAGATGCCATAGCCAGTTATATTTAGTCAGCTTCAGGCACTGTGTCAGGGAGAGTATTCCTCCCTGACATTTCTTAAATGTAAGAAAATATTTTTAGATTGAAGTTTTGTGTTGTTCCAGCCTTAGTCAAATGGTCTGGCATGTTAGGTCAGGTCTCACCTCCAGAGATGAGAGTATGCCTGCAAGACAGTTTGGGAAATGCCTTTGTGAAGTTTCACTTTAGCTACACTTATATTAAAGATATCATATTCATAGTTCATTAAGATTACTAGTTGATTGTGATGTGATATCACAAATGTTTAGTCAATTGCTGAACTGGCCAAATAGATCAGTCCTAACCATAGCTTGTGACTATTTTACTCAGATTAACCTGCATCTTTTTCTCCACTTTTTTTTCCTTTCAGGACAAACAGATTTTTTTACCTTTTTTTGTGATTACTACAGTTTTCTTTTATTAATTTACTTAATTGGCACATGATTGTTTAAAATATCTTCAAAATCCTTCCATAGTTTGGGTTTCCGAGCTTTGCTCGGCTTAAAGTTTAGACAGACAAAACTGATGAACTAAAAATCATCTTGGTCACCTCAGAAGACCATTTCTGTCAAATTATGTATCATCCAAACAATCTGCCTAACTCCATTTCTAGTCACCCCCAATGAACACTTCTCAAAACTCTGTATTCCTGTAATATTATGCCCATATGCATTTTTATAAAAGTACTGCTAAAATAAAGGGATCACATTGAGTCAAGGTCTATTCTTTGATTTCTTATGAAGTCTTGTGTGTCCTGCACTGCTAAGCCCCAGTCACTAATGGTAGGCCAAAAGTGTCAGTTTCTTCCTCTGGTCTGCACTTGTGCAGAGTGGATGAAGTACAGGGCCACAGTGCTTTTTGTGCTATTTTACACCTCATTTGCACAGAATAATGTGATCACACAGACTACAGCAACAGTGAAGTAAGTTTCCGCCTGGGTGCATCTGCATGCACGTGTTTGTTTTATACTCCTCTCAAAGGATCTGGTGGGTAGCTGAACATTTGGATATATTATAAAGAGGTAGTGTTTATTCACTGTAAACTACTTGTTACTCACACCTGCTTTTAACTTTATAACAGATATATGAGAGTGCTGAGCCCACATTTCTTTAACACCTAGATGCTAGGCAACAGACTTTCCTTATAGCAGCTACTCACAAAAACATGCCTGAATACTGCTGTCATCACCACTCCCTCAGCACCAAGGAATTTAACACAATTTATGCATGGAGCTGCCATTCTAATCCTGAATATAAAACAGAGGAGTAGAAGGGCACTAGAGTCAAAAGGCCAGGGACATTTTGTATTTGTACAATGTCCTGACCAGGGCCTTAATTAGTTGCTGATTTTTAGGTCAGTGAGAAACCACAGCTGTTTATCCTTCTCCCAAAATAACACTGATTCTGGAAGCCATGACTAGGAGCACCCTTATCCCTTTTCAGTGCCTTATTGTTTGGGTATTAGAGTTCCCCAGTAAATGGTCTTACTTCAGAACACAGAATAACTCATCTAAGTCCTTTAGAAGGTGTTTCAGTTGTTGTTTTGCTCATTTTGTTCTAATTTTCCACATCAAATAGGAAGTTTGGACTTCCATGGTCATCACTAAGAGTCGGGTAGGAATTTTCAGCAGCAGCAAAGCTAGTTGTGTTGGCTTCTGAGCTTACATTATCTAACCTGTAGTATGATTCTCAGCCTTTTCTCCATGGCAAGAACTAACTAAATACTATATCAGTAAAAGTACAGTTGTTGAAATAGGAGAAGTTGAAGATGAGTGTCCTTGTGCCCCTGGCCCACCTCATCCTCCCCATTGGAGAATGGTGCTCAAAGCATCTCACATGTCAACAGCAAGGCACCACTTCAGCTTGTCTGGAAAACGGCAGTGGAAGACACTGCCAGCAGAAAAGTCTCAAGGCAGAAGTTCTGGCCCTCTCCACAAGGAGGGATTTCCCTTCATTTTTCCAAGGGTCTCAGAAATTCCCTGTACCACCACCACACAACTGCCCTAGCACTCTCTTTGTCCTTTGCTGTGCTCAGCAGCCATGACTGAGTTCCTGTAGCCCTGCTCCTCTGTATTCACCTTAAAGAACCACTGAGCACACGCAGTATCCAGTTTCAGACACCTGTAACTCAAAGGCATCAAACCTTTTTTCCTTCCAGTATTTCAAGGCAGGGAATGGCAAGCCTAGGACAACTACTATGGAGGCACCATTTCCACATATAGCATAGGATTACAGTGCAGTGTGCAGAGGAGGTATAGTATATCCATCCAGCTATGTACTGTTTCCACACCAGTTGTGTGTGAATACGGGGTAAGTTTATATGTAGCATGTAGATTTCACTAAGGATAAAATCTGAAGAGCCTATGATCATTCTAGCAGGACTGAAAACCCTGTTATTTAATTATAAAACAGGTAAATGTAATATAGGATCATTAAGATATATTAATGCAAAAATGCATAATCCCTGATTCCCTATCAGTGAACAGTCCTCAATTACATAAAACAAAATCTGGACAAAAAAAGCCCAAACAACAGAATCCTGATTAGAAAAATCTCCATGTGAAAACTATGCGCACATCAATCCCCTCAGGCTAAAATGATGCAGTTGCACTGTACTTCACAATGTAGTTGAACTGCTGTCAGCTTACCTTGCATGACTCACAGTGAATCATGGACAAAATTGTGTATAAGAGAAAGAGATGCCGCCCACACAGAGCAGCGCCTTGAATTATTCCCACCCTATTCCCTCCCCCTCCAAGTGAAAACACATTTGTTCACAGTCAGCATTGCAGCTATTCTGTTAGCACAGTCACTTAGTTATTTTTGTATGTTTCTAATGGGGAGGCTTTTCAGTTTGTTAATACTGTGATGTACTTAACAGTTGAGGACATCAGGTCAAATCTAATCCCCAGCCATCTCAGAGCAATTCCCCATCTGTAGTGTGGAGGAGGGGAGAGGTTAGTATTAAACGATAAATTAATTAAAAAATAATTATAACGAGAAAAAATTACAGCATCATTATCAACAAGAAAGCAAGAGCAAACAGGAAATCGGCATCCATGAGCTAAAGCATAAATCAAGGTACTGCAAGAGCATTATCCTAAAAACCTCCTCAAGTCACTGATTCCAGTGAGAGCTAAGGGTGTCTCAGAATTAGTAAATTTATAAAATTGTGAAGGATTGAAACTGTAAAATAATTCCTTTCACTAAAGCACTAAAGCATGGCACTGCTCATTTGTTAAAGCTGCCAGCATTCATTTTCATTCTGCTGCAAAATTCTTGAGCACCAGAGGACAGCAGAGACAAAGCCTTGGAAAAAGCTACAGAAGACTCTGTAGCAGCAGATGGCAGCTTTCCCTAAAACGGTGTCAGGAGGTAGAGAGAAATTAGTACCTTCTTGAGTTGTAATTTTCCCAAAGCATTCAGATCATATTCCACTTTTTTTCCCAAATAAACGATTCCTGATATAGATCAGGGAATAACTTAGGTTTTGTAGAGTTCAGGTAATGATACCTGGGGTTCTGTGAAGGCTGGGTAATCTCTGCTACTATAGTTATATTCAGTAAGTCTCGTGTTCCTGCAGACTATCTGCTTATCTAATAAGAACCCTTCTCTGCTTAACAGCCACTTCATCTTTCTCCTTTTTTATGAAACTCTTGATGTCTTTTTAAGGGGTTTTATGTGCTCTGTGAGAATTAACAGGAGGAGGTGTATTTCATTTTTTAATATGCATTGTTTTATCTACATTTATGGCAATGAATTTAGAAATCTAGAGGCATAAAAAGGTAAAGGAAATAGGTAACTTCATCAAAGCAGGCTACAGCTTTAAGAGGATCTCAGCAGGTTAGTTGCAGTGCAGTATAACTTGTGTCTTGAATCGTTCTGTTTTATTAAAATTGTGCAGGGCAACATCTGTGCATAGTCACATTCAAGGATATATGGGACCATGTGGAAAGTAATAGTACCAGAGGAAAAAACTAACTGCATAAATGAAATTTAAGGGAAATATTAGGCAGGAGCCATCTAGGACCATACACAGTCCTAATAATGTTACAGATATCTACACTGACTGAAAGAAAAAAGATGTGGTCATTTAGTTTATCATTACAAATTAATATTTTTCCAGACTAAAGATCTGTATGAATAGTTC